CGAGGCCTTATCCTGTCCGGATACGCATAAAATTTGTACAAAGAAGCATATCCAGCAAGAGAATAGACACGTGATCCATCACCTGCATCGTTCGCCTTCGATTCGAACCTAAACATCATACAATTTGATATTTGGTTTACTAAAATTCAACACGTGACTCACAAAAAGTAATGCATCCACAGTGGATCTGCATTATCAGTATATTGAGCGGCATCGATATACCACAAAGCAAGCGACTGCACTCTAGCGAGGTAGTTGTCAAAATCCGGTGAGCTTTCGGTAATTTTGTACAATTCAAAAGATTTTTCTTCTAAAAATTCACGAATGAATTGAGTTTTATGTGTAGGCTAGCAAATTTAACTCACTCGCAGTAAACTTTGTGATCAGTTCTCCAAAAGGCTTGAAGTTTTTCTGTTTTGCCAAAATTACTTGGAAGTGCTCCTTAGTATCCACCATCATATTCATCTGATCACTGGGTAATTGTTCTCTTAGCTTGCCGATAACGTCGTCTTCCTAGAAAAACGTTAAAAAGATCATGTATGGAGTTGCACGAAGAAAAAATCAACCTTCATATCCTTTTCAACACTAGAAACAGCTTTAGAGAAAGACAACTGTGGATATACGAACATTGTTGCATCAGAATAGTAAATATTTATAGCAAGATCTTCATAACCATAAATGGTTTCGCTTAATCAGAATCAAAATGAGCTTTTGAGGAGTTCAGAGAGAACTGGGAACTCACTTGTCACCAAAGTGTTGATGTGCAAATTCGGGATGGTAGCTTTCCACATCGTTCAAAGAATCAATGTCAGATACTGCAATATATGCATCAAGCGAGTACTATAGAAATAATAACAAATATGATGTTAGTCATGAAACGCCTTAGGCTTTGACCATACATTACCAGCGTTACTTTTGTTACCACAGGCTTTGACCATACATTTTACCAGCGTTACTTTTGTTACCACTGTTACTCCTGTTACCCGTGTTACTAGTGCTCGTGTTACTCGTGTTACCGATGTTAACAGTGTTACTCGTGTTATCCGTGTTACTCGTGTTACTAGTGTAACCGCTTTTATAGCTGTTGAGTAGTGAAATTATTGGTGATATCTTAGTGATCATTTCACTACTTAACAGCTAGTAAAGCATAACACTAGTAACATCAGTAACACCGTGACACGGGTAACACTAGTAATACGGGTAACCAAGTAACACGAGCAACGCTGGTAACACGAGTAACACAGGTAACACTGGTTATGTATGGTCAAAAACCTAAGTAATATTCCGGATAGCTTGGCCTTACAAAGACAATAGATCTGAAATTTAGACCATGTATAGCGTTTTCGGTAACAAAGGCAGTTTTTTAAGGCAAACAAAGTCATGCAAAGAAGGTTACTCATTTCTTGCAATTTCACAC